CCCCCTCGGGCCGCCTCGGCATTAAATCCAGGGAGATAGATACAGGAGAAGAAGAAGAGTGACAGACTCATTAAATATGGGCATGGAAAAAGACGCCCGTGTGTACAAAACTACCACCACTTAAAATACAAAACAAAACTTTCCTTACCGCTTTTGTGCACTTTTTTTCCTTTCACTGATTACATAGTTTCCCGCACTCAGTAACAGGGGAGTCACTGTGAGCGGGCTGACTCACCTCAGAGCTTCAGGTTGCAGCATGCCCACCTCCGCAGCACAGACTGGCAGATTTACATTGTTGTCTCCCACATCGTTCTGCTCTTACAGGTCCTAATCATGCTGTTGAGCAATTGTCCCGTGGAAAACCCATCTCTCAGCAGCTACTGGTTTCTTTCTCCTCCTCGCCTCTCGCCCAGAGCGACAGCAGAAATTCTAAGATGTGCAAAGCAGAGGATTAAAAACTCCTCCAAGGCCTATAAAATAACCATGTACTTATGAAGGCGCCTGGTTATTCCCCTTAGTATAAATGAATGCACCTCAAGACAAAAGAGCTATTGACTCACACCTTCATATAAAAGACTGTTCATAAATACGCTCCTTCCTGTGCATATATATGTGGCAGCTTGTGTGTGTGTGTGTGTGTGTGTGCGTCGTCTCATACTCCCATCAAAAACTGTACAGAACAAATAATTGAATCAAGCTAACTGCTGGGTGCCCAGTTAGTGCGTGTTTCATCAATCATGGCTAAACATTCTGGAAAATTGTAATGGAGACAGAGCTAACATGCAGAGTTTTTCCAGCAGGGCGGTGGGTCAGCAAAGAATGATGGGACTTTAAATGTGGTTTGTGGAGAAAAATACCATTTGGTTACAGGACAGGAGAGGGGGAGTTCCTCCCCAAGTTTAGTTTAGATTTTCTAATATTTGTGGAAATTTACTGCAAGACAGGCCAAGTATAAAAGCTAAGTCATTTTATTTAAAAAAGAAAAAAGAAGCAGCACAAAGACTGTAAGAGAACGTGTCTTGACTGAGAAGCAGTATTTCATTTTATGGAACTCAAGACTGTTATTCAAAGGGATGTTGTACTCCATTTTATATTATCAACAACAACAACAATAATGACTATGCGTTATTTTAACAAGTTTTTTAAGGTTAAATTATTAGCTATGAAACAAATATTTTTTGTTATTGTTAACCTATTAGTGTAATATATAAACTAACTAAATTACCCAACTTTATTTTGTTTACTCCAGTGGTTCCAAAAGTGCGGGTGGGTCCTCCTTTAGGGGGCGTAGAGTTATTGCAGGAAAGGTGAAGAAAGACACTTTTTCATAGCAGTTTTGTAAAATATGCTGTAATGAAAATTAAAGTGACGTCTTGTGAAGCCTTGTGAGAAACTCTCTGCATGTCACTGCTATCACAGTGAAAGTGGAGGAGACACACCTTGTAATACGAGTCCTGAGAATTCTGATGTTCACACTGAACGCCCCTCCCCTGTCTACACCTCAGGCTACAGGTACATATGGATGTGTGTTTATATACATGTGAGTTTTGGTGAAGTTGCAGTGAGACCCCCAACCTTCCGCCCGACCATCTCCAGACCAAAACACACTTCCTTGTCTCCTGTGACGGTGCTGCCTTACATGATCTGCCTCTCCTCTAGTATTTCATCATAATTCACAGTGACAACAATCTACAGCCAGTGCTCACACTGCTACCCATGAGCCCTCACAGAATACTGAATTGTGTGACAGTGGGGGAGGAGAAATAGAGATCTGACATAAGAGAGAGGGCAGAAGGTGACAGAGAGAGAAGGACAGAGGGCAGGAGGATAGAAATTCTAAGAGGAAAGGGCAAAAGGGAGGTGGGGTGGGGGGCTATTGTCATGTATATAACCTATTATCTACTATACCTCTAAAAAACCTTTTGTTTTTTTCTTCTTGGTTTTAACTTCCTGCTGTGATGTCACAGAGGAGTCTGACAAATAATATTTATTATTTTCTATGATGATTCTGAAAAGCTGTTTTTGTCAGTGGGGTTGAAAGGTGGAGGAGTTGTAGCCTGGTAGCCATTTGACACCATAGCTTTCAAAAAGAAGTCAGAAGTTGTTGTGTTGGGGCGGGGGCAGCAGTTTACTATGAAATACTTTCTCTCTGTACTCAAGATTTTTCTACTAGGAAACAACCATGTAAGTGGGAGATGACCATCTCTGTAAATGGAGGGGAAATAGGAAATGAAGGAGAGGGAAAAAAAGAAAGCGACCCGACCTGGGGTTCAACTGATGACAGGGCATAAATCAAAGATGGCGTGAAAACATGGCACCTTTAGGCTCTGGTTTGCTTTCCTACTGAGAGGCCAGATTTCTCCCTGGCTGAGTGCAGCTACTTCTGAGGCCTCGTGTGCTAATGGCATTGATTTGTTGTTTCTGCTGCACTGCTCCAAAGATCCAAATCAATCAGGGTGTAAAAGATTAACTAGTGTTCAGGGAGCAGGAGGGCGGGAAACTCTCCCACTGAAAGGGACGCTTCAACCTCACATGTGGCGCGACACACAGGCAAATCCTTTCATTCTAATTCCCTCTAACTGTAAAGAGTTGTCTGTGAAAGACTCATTTCTAACAATAGGTTTCGTCATACAGTGGCTGTGGGTTTGGAACAGAGAGAGATTTAAATGTGTAGGAATGATCTCAACATCTATTTATTCGGTTTAGTCATTTAGAACATTGTTGTCTGGCTTTCAGTCATTATAGAAGCAGCAACATAATTATGAATATTAAATACAGGAGAGTATTTAATAGATGCCTCTCTTTGTGTAGTAATCCTTCACTTTGTGTATGTGGTTTTGTATTTGCGCTCTGTTTATTGTATTCCCACAAGATGATACTTACAAATTTAAATTTAAAAGTAAATATTTTTTAAATTGTTCTGTGTAAATATCTGATTGAAAAAAAAAAAAGAGTTCAAACTACAGGGTCGTGGACTAGTGCTGGGTCACACAAAAAGAACCCATTGTTTTCATTGAGTTCATAATCAAAAAATTACTGCAATTTATGGATTTCAGCAACACACTTTCTCCATGCACACATATAGAATTTTTACAAACCCCTGGGAAATCATCATTGAAATCACAAAGACCCCCTTGTGACGACACACGAGTTGATTTCATCTCTACTGCCTCACACTGACCCTGGACAGACAGTTAGTGAGCAGCCACCATCTGTGTGACAGTCGGCCTCGCTGGTGGTGAAGTATTTGCCTGTGGTGTGGAGGTCTGTCAGGGGGTCTGTCAGGGGGTCGCAGGGCTATGTGTCCCCCCCGAGGGGTTAAAGGGGTCCTTGTGGGATTTGCAGCCAGTGACCATGATGTTCATGTTCGCCTGACCCAGGCCACCACCCCTCACCTCAGACAAGACTCACGCAGATAAACACACACAAGCACAATTACCAGGTCACAGTCTGTTGTTCAGTCCACAGCTCTGTGTGTTTTTACATCAAAATGCAGTGTTAGTTCAGGGGAAAATGAGAAAAGTGGTTCAAGGTAAAGGGACTGATCTTAGACCCTTTAACTAAGGAGTAAAGACTGACCAAACGCTTACCACAGAACCCCACCCCCCAGCCCCCCGGCCCACTCTCCCTTGATGCCAAACACACTCACACATTGCAGTTATTAAAGCAGCAATGATGCAGATACGGTTAACCACACATCAAACTCGATTTACCGAAGATAAAACATCCCTTTTATCAGTGGTATCAAAATAAAATATGGCCTGAATCTGTCGAATTGATCACAGACACTTGTCGTTCTTTGCATTTTTTTCCAGCTGTAGGGGGTTTTCAAGGTAAAAGAAAAGTAGCACTCCTCTGTAGAATTTGCAGTGTTTAAATGCCAAAGTGAGCCACAGGTGTACACGTAGACACACAGAGTCGTAATTGGTTTTTGAAAAGGAAAACAGTGTGCCTCGGCCCATCCGCCCCCGGTATCCGGGATCGGTGTTTGGGTGACCACGGCCAGAGCGCTGTTAGTGTGGGGACTGAATAGGCCGACAGCTGAGCTAAAAGAACTGTGTGCACATGGACTCCATGGCTAATCTGCTAATGTATTCCAGAGGTCAGGAGGGTTTCGCACCAAATCAATGGAGGGATTTACACAGCTTTCCTCTGGAATGTGCTCCATCCGCACTCTGCTTCAGGGAAAACATCAACCTCTGCTTTGCCAGGCCGTCCAATTTTCCGCAGCATTTAACCACAAAAAAGGAAGAGCAAATGTAAAAAGACGGGGAGGGAGGGGGGGTCAGCAGAGTGCTCACTTACCTAGCCCGTCGTTATACACGTACACTAAACAGAAAAAAAACAACTCGAGCCACAGATTCAGCAGCACGTTGTTTTTGAAACTACTAAAAAAGCAATGTCCATACTCAAGCCATGAGGCAAATAAGAGTTCACTGACAGAGAGTTGTCTGAGCAATGATGTACGATGGATGATGAGGGGAAAGGGTGAAAAGACAGCAGGGTGGAGAGAGACACAGAGTGCGTAAGAGCAGCAGTTCTGGAGCTGTAGCCTCTCTAATCCAAACTGACTACAAAGAGGCCTCTGGAGGTCAACACAAGGAGAAGCAAGACTTGGACACATGAGCCTGAAAACTCAAAACAACTGAGAGAAATCTGTGGAGCATCTACAGAGTATTTTCTCTCATAACAGAGAGCCCAAAGGCTCGAACGCTGCACTGGAACGTCTCAGACTTTATACCAAACACATGCAAATGGTAGTGTTGTGATGTATTATGGTTTTTTGACGGACAATTCTACAAATTCCATTTCCGAAAACATTGATTCACTTCCTAATGCAATAAAAACTATAATCAACATGAAGTGTTATTTAACAAGAGGAAGGAGAAATATTTTCAGTGTTTGTTACTGACAGGTCACAGTTCAGTCAAAGTCAGAGTAGGCTTGTCCTGATATTGTTGGAAAAATGATGCGGTAAAAGGATGAGTATTTGTATTTGTTTATACTCAGGGTTGGTTCTTCATAAACATCAGTCAACCGGAAGGCAGTGTTATAGAGGAGACAGCGCTGTGACTAATAGGGTGAGGTGCAGTGTGTAGGTGCAAACTCCACCCAAACCACAGTGAGGACATGGAGCAGGAAACTGGAGTATCAGGTCGCTGGAACTGCACATGTGCATACTGTCTAGTACACATTTTACTAGTAGATAATCAGGAAATATGCTCCAGTCTCTAAGGTGGATTTAAATTATGATGCATTAATCTACATTCAAAGACATCAAGCTGATTTTGGCCCCAACCATGATACATACTGTATATTGGATCTAATTCTGTACAAATCACAGACCTTGGCGTCACATTTGGTTTGCCTGTAGTCCAGATCTGTCTTTGATTAGAAGGTCTGGTACATCATTAAGAAGAGATGGTTGGGAAGCACAGGGTTATATAAAACAAACATGGGAATAACTCTACAGGCAAAACTGCAAATCTATCACCATCATTAGTTTGTAAACATATTAAAATGAATAATAAGTTGAAATGGTGGCATGACCCAGAAGTACTTTGTCTTTTGTCCAATAATATTCCACTTTTTTTAATAGGTTGGAAAAATCATTATGATTGAGATGTAACTTTGAATTAGTTTTATTTATATTTTTATTTATTTATATTCAAAATTCATTAGAGCTCATTTTGATTATTAAGAAAGGGACACCGGGAAAGGCAGACTCCAGCCCAGCACTCAGTCTCTGATATAAGATCATGGGAGTTATTCCCATCACCTTATCTTCACTGTGCATGTGTGTAAGTTAGATCTTTTGTGTGTGTGTGTGTGTGTGTGTGTGTTGGAATGCACCATGGTAGTGATGCGCCGGATTCTCCCCTTTTTTCTCTCTGTCTCTCTGGCTGCTGGACCAGACGCAGCTCAGGTCATAAATAAGCCATCCTGGACAGAGTTGGACGTCCAAACCCAGACACCCAGACGCAGAGTACAAGGGCCTTGGCCTTTGAATCCAGACAGCATGGACTAAGCCAACCTAGAGGGAAAAGGACCACAGCGAATCACTTTCACTGGCCTTAAAGCCCCGTTATAGAGGTCATAGGTTAGCTTCATATCAACGTGTTTAACCCCTAACGCTTCGAAAAAGGGACTGATGTTAAGATACATTCCAACCTTTTTATGTTATCCTCTCATATAACTGTCTTAAAGTGAGATGTGTTTTGTTGAACTCCCACATGGAAGACTGATAAAAAAGGAGAGTTTGGATGTAAAGAATGACATTGGAGAATATACATCTCCACAAGAGTGAACCAGCTGGACAGGTGGTGATTAGGATCTGTATACCTGATGTATTTACAGATTCTTAAATCAGACAAATGACAGGCCTCACTTGACAAAGTTCACCACATGTAGCCTCATCATTTCTCACAAGACATACTGTAGTGAAGTGCCTCAAACTCCCATTGATTTTCTGCACAAACCTCTGCCTCGCTCTTGCTAACTTTAGCCACCCTTGTTATTATCAAGCCAATCTGTCTGCAACAGCTTGTTTCACTGCTGCATTGTTACATGATCTGTTTACCAATACCATACTTAGCTGCTGGCAAAACAAAGTGAAAGAAAAATTGGCTGCTTTAGGGATTGAGGCTGACTCACCCAGTTTAACTCCAGGCTGAGGTTCAGTCTGCAGTACTACAGATATTTGACACGTTCCAGGAGAAGAAATGTTCATCACGTCAGTGAGTCTAAAGAGAAGAAAACGATATCACTGTAACTAAAATGCTTAAATATGAAGTTATAACTAGTCACCAGAACTAGTCTTAACAAGTAGTCACTTCCAGATGTTAAGCTAAGACCGGGTACATGAACTGGCCTAGAGTTTACAAACCACAGTTGTAGGGATAACAAATCAAAATATAACTAATCTATCAGTCTATAACAGTGAGCCAAGTCCTTGTACTAATCAAAATGTCTTTTTGTTTCTGAAAACTAAACTAAAAAAAAAAACTAAAGTGGGTTGATATGAGTGAATAGTTGTGATGGATAACAAAGATTTATATTTATAACAGAACTCCGCTTAGACCAACAATAATTCACAACAGTCATGCCTCCTCGCCACATGACCTCCCCCCCCACCCCCCACCACCACCACCACCACCCCTTACTCTTGTCTCTGTCCCCATCCTGGTCATTGACATGATCTCTCCATTCATCTGTCAAAACATTTCCTGTGAACCGGGAGAAGGGGATCAGCAGTTTGATAAATCCATAAAAGGCCCCATGTTAGCCCATGAAGGCCCCGGATGGCCTCTGTCAGCCTTTCCCACAGGCCGCCTGTCTGTCAGCCCCTGATTTGACCGACAACACCCATCACCCCACGCCATGCTGCTCACGCCCACTCCAGCTACACCCTCCCCGCCAAAACCACACACATTAAACATCATTCAGTCTGGCCTAGCATTCATTAATAGGACTGACAAAAGCATCAGCCTCTCACTCTTGTGACTAGTCAGTCCAACAGCAGGGGAGGTGGGGAGAAGACAGTGTGGGCACAGGGCTCAGAGACTTCACCTTGTCCAGTCATGAATAGTGTCTCTTTCTGTTTGTCCTCTGTCCCCCAGACTCTGAAAAGGCAGAAAGCACCATGTTAAATCTGCTCACAGGGGAAGGTGGCAGTGTAAGGAGGTTAATGCTGATGCCACTTCTTTTTGGGGTGTTAGAAAAAGAAGATTCTGGAGACAGGAACTTGATTAGTGAAGCCATGAGTCTGAGTACTTTAAAAATAGCACAAAGAAAAAAAAAAATCAATAAATTCCTTAAATATTCTAGTTTTTTTTTATCTAGAATCATATTAATTCACTAGATCATTTAGTGAAAACATATTTGGTCATTTCTGGCCATTGTTAAAAGTTTTGATGAAGTGTCCTGGTTAGGTGTAATGCCACAACATTGTACTCCAGTAGAACAACATCTAACACTGGCTGAAGTTGTTTCTAGTGAAAACTGTGTGAGTTTCAGGCTGCTGGTGTTACATGACAACATGGCAGAAAGCAGGCAGGACCTAAATGCAGCACAAGGGAGACTTTTATTACCAAAGTGCAAATTTACAAAAACTCACTTGATCACAGGAACAAGGCTTAAACTTCAAGGCATTGCCATCTTCAAACCATGGACTCTAACCACAACCTGCACACAGACAAACTGGGAGAGAGGTATATACACTATACCCAGGGCACCAGGTGACATGAGTGAGACTAATGACAGAGACACAGGTGAATGTGATCACACTGATTAACTACAGCCAGCAGACAAGGCAGGAAGAGGGAACAGACAGCCCTAACAACTGGATCAGCAAATATGTTCGAGTAGGAGTACAAGTTAATATTCAAATATATCGTGCAAGATACCAATATCGTGAAAATCAAAGTATACTATTTAATTATGGAGGCTGGACTAAAGTGTAGTCCTGGACAGGTTTATACCTGTAAATCCCAATGTGACTTTTACTTCCAGCACAGGGCGTGTGGACCAGATGGCAGTAGCTGTCATCTATTCAACTAGTGTGACATCATGGAGGGACACAGCGTAGCTCGCTAATAAGTTCAACAAAGACAAAAACAATGCAACAGTAAACAAAAATAAACAATATAAGACCCTGAAATTGTTTGTAAGAAAAAGAAAAACAGAAATGTTTGTGTTTTTTCAGACTCCACTCACGTTATGCCCTGAAAGAAATCATCTCTGTCAAACAATCAAGAGAACAGAAGAAGTTCTAACGCAACCCTTTAGCTGCTGGGTCCCTGTGAGAAACACTCGAACGTCTGTTCAATTTTTATTAGGACCAAATAAATGTATTCTTTTTACAATGCTGCAGTAATGTGATTTACTTGTCCACAGAGCATGTATGATCATGAATGATCAGATTGGAGAGACTACTGATGTCACGGATGATGCTGCATATGTGACTGATATGGAATTTCTAATAATATCTATAGCTGGACTGACTGCTCCACATACAGTAATGTTTGTCAGAAATATAACCATTAGAGGACTGAGGAAAATGACAGACCATGTGACTAGGAAGCCTAGCAAGGTGCTAATCCTTGCTGGTACTTAAGTCTTCAGTTATCAGACCCACTGCTGTGTCAAAACTGTAAAACCCGTGGCATTAGCATTAGCACTGGAGCAGGAGCTCTGTGGCATGTTTTTCCACAGTTGAGTAGCTGCATGCAAAACCTACATCACCAAGAACTCAGCCAAGAATCAGAGAGAAATATGTGTGCTTTGATTTGCCTGGCATTTTTGGGTGGTCAGCTTTTTTGTTGTTTGTGACTACGTCGCTCGGCTGGCCTGGGAACGCCTTGGGGTCCCCCCAGAAGAGCTAGAGGAAGTGTCGAGGGAGAGGGAAGTCTGGGTGTCCCTGCTCAGACTGTTGCCCCCGCGACCCGGCCCCGGATAAGCGGTTGAAGATGGATGGATGGATGGATGGAGCTTTTTTGTTTGCCAAATTGAGAGCCACAACTCGTTCACAGCATTTCCAAGAGCCAGATAAAAATGATTTAAAAACAAGAACTGCACAGGCTGAACCTCTGTAGACATTAAAATTACATATTATCATAAGCATGATATATGTTACATTAGGCTTCCAGCCTAGCATATGTATGTATGCCTTTACCACACACCTAGAAGTAGAGTAATCTACTGACATGTACAGTACAGCGTTGTTAAAACGGCTCTTCACAGACTTTAGCCATTGTGATAAGTTCATAAGATAAACTCTTGATATTGTCTCAAATGGTAAAAGTGTTGTTGTTTCTGCAGTGTAGTTCATTTAATTACAAAGATTTCCTGTAATTGTAAGTTCATTGTAAGTGGTTTATTGTTCCACAGTGAGTATAATGTTTCACAGTGGTTTTCCCAACACTGGAAAATGGAACAGTGGATTTTCTTGTTTGAATTGTGGTCGGATACATTATTAAAATTCCCTACTAAAAAAAAAAAAATCAACTTTAATTTATATTTTACTCTGGCAATAAATCCCCCCTCAGTTCTTGTTTCTACAGGATTATACCCCAGAATCCCAGCCTGTAGATTATAGTCTGAATAGTCTGATCTGCTCACTCCTAGTCCTGTCCATCCTGGTCACTCCTATGAAGATCTCAGCATCTTTATCCCTGACCCCTCCAACTCAGCCTTTTGTTCATCAGACAGAGCCACTGTCTCTGAACCATACATCATAGCAGATCTCACTACTGTCTTATGAATCTTCTCTTTTAAAGTTGCTGCTATTCTGTCATAAATCAACCCTGACGCTCGTCTCCACCCATCCCACCCTGACTGAACCATTCTACTCTTTTGTTTATTGTCCACTAACCCTAACTAAATAATATATAATTATATATTTATTATATAATATATAATTTTGATCATTTTTATCTTTTTTTTTACTTCAGTTAAACCCGGAACCAATAAGCTTTAAACCCTTGCTGTAAGGCAACACCACTCACCACATTTCCACTGTGTGGCTCGTGATAAATCCATAAAAGAACCACATGTGGATTAAGAGAAAATCTAGAGGAGGGAAAGTGGAGGCTCTTTGTAAGGAGATGAGATAATTTGAATGTGCAGCTTCTCTCTTTCTCTCACTCTCACACACAAACGCACACGCTCGACAGTGGAAAGAAAGACGGAAAGAAAATGTATCTTGGAAGAGTCACATTGGCTGTTATCCTGAAAGGATAATAAACGTGTCTCTCCCTGTGAGCAAGAGTGAGTTTGAATTTGAATTTATTGAAATTGATGGCCTCTGGAGAGGCAGGATTCCATTTTAGAGTGTTTGTGATGTTTAGTTAGTGACGGTAACTTCCTCTGCAACAACCTGTTTCCAGAGTTTGAAACAGAAATAATTCAGGTAATGCGCGACTATTTCTGCATTGAATCTTTAATCCAACTGGGTTTTCTTTTCTTATTTTCCAGTCCTAGGGCCAAAAAAGAGAATTTTCAGCCTTAAATCACTTTTCAACTTTGCACCATACCCACACCCCGACATCATCCGTCCTCCAAACTCGTAGCTGCAGCAGTCGGTGGTAAAGCTGGCATCAGGTTTGGACAGCTTTCCTGAACACACGTTTTTGATTCATGAACTGAAGTTGGTTTCTCTACATGTGCGGTGGAGACCATCTTCCTCCGTGCTCTGTTTACTGAACAGTAAAACCCCAAGGCCACAGACCAACGTGGGCTCACTCTGAAGTTCCACATTCCCACCAGAAACAAACCCATTTGATGAAGAATAACACTAATAACGTGACCAGAACCCAAAACACTTCCTTTCCTGCAGCAGTGGAGATCAGGTTTTTGTTATATTATTCTTCATATTACAGGACTGCCTGCCAGAGTACCTTATAAACACTCACCCAAAGTCTTCTGCTGCTTTTTTAAAGTAGTGCACTTAAGGATTTGAAGTTCATACCAACATCGGATTTATTCTGAGCCCAAAAACGGCTAAAACGTTTCTCTTTTTTTTTAAGCAACACACCGCATCCTTCAAGGGTGTTTCAGTGAAAACTGTGTTGACATGAGCCTCAGGAGAAGAGATGACGGTGGTAAGAGACTACAAAGGAAAAAAGGAATAAGACAACAAAAAAGTGAAACCATGTGAGAGCAAGAGTGGAAGGAAAAAAGTATATGATGTTTAAGGTTACAGAAAGTGAGTGAAGGAGAGGAATAGTGGAGGAAAAGGAGGAAGGAAAGGTCTGGTTTTCTTTTCCCTGACTCTGGATTCCTGGGTAATGACTGTAATGGTGCTGAGGCTCAATTCGCCAAATGAAACAAGAGGCCCAGCCAGGCCGATGATGTTTATTTCTCTCCATTTTTCATCTTTTCCTTTTTTCTTCTGCGACATTAAAATCATATATGCACAATCTGTATTTAATTTGTGTGGCAGCTTCGTCTTCTTCTTTTTTTTCCTCTGCTGCCCCCTATTTTTTTCTTGCACATTCAGCAGTGTTCTGGCCAAAGCAGGGCTGTGTGGTTTGCTAACCAGTAGAGGGGATATTTTCTGAGAAATCCTGTCTGCCAGCAACTTTCTTCACCGTGGCCTCATTCGCTGACCTTAGCAAGCGTCTGTTGAATCATTGCTGAGAGACATGCTGCTTTACGGTGTCTATGTTTTTGCAGTGACCTGGACTTACGGACGCTTAGTGAGAATAGTGAAATCTTTCTATTTACCGAGGCCATATTTGAAGTTGGCGGCGTTCCGGTATGAAGGAATAGTCAGAGAATTTCCAATCACGCATCTGCAAGTCAGCAATAAAACTGCAGAGAAGATTTTAAGCCTGCACACTCATGCACGTCCAACACCCACGGAACAGTTTGTGTTCTGCGAGACTGATCAGCTCTGTGAGCCACTGATGGGCCCTTATCCAGCGTCCACAGTGGCTGGATGAGAACGGACCAAGCTGCATGCCACAGGGGATTTCTGGGATCAGTGAATCTCCCCCTCCATCTTGGTACAGGCTTGGAGGCTCCAGTTTTTGGAGTGAGCACAATCTCTGGCGGGGTCCTTATTTGGTCCGATTTATGGGCGCCATGTAGCGACCGCAAAGTCAAAACCCAGACGTGAATTCTGTCTCTCTGCAAACACTGTTCGAGTCCAACCACATCATCCAAAATATTTAATACAATTGTGGTTTATATCGTTGCCCTGGCTGTTACCTGAACTCACACTCGCTCACGTTTCATTATTTTCCAACTCGTTTCAAGGGCCGACTTCATTAACACCATTATTTCACTCACGTATTTGATAGAAAATAAAATATGAATAAAATAAACTCAACGCAGTGCTTTTGCAGTGCAATTGTATCATAACTGTGGTTCCTATGAGCACAGAGCCACTTAAACTAAACAACATCATAAAGATAGTCGTAAAACAGCAAATGTAATTTGTGAAAAAAATGGTCTGCAGTGTTTTTCCAAACTAAATTCCTCTGCCAGATTCTTTGCAGAAGTAGACTTTGCTCCACATGCTCACCTTTTCCTCAGCCATCCTCACTCCACCCTGTTTAACTGTGAACTGAAGTAATAAAAATACAACAAACATGTCTTCAAGGTGAAGTAAACAAAGTCTCCTAAAAAAAAAAATCGAACAGAAATAAACCTCTCAGTCTTTTCAGCGTTGGTGCTACATTCATTAGCAGTGATGCTCCGCCATGTTTGTGTTTTCTACTTTCTTTCTGGGTGTTTGTATTAATGTTAATAGGACCAGTAGGTGGCAATAATGTCAATAAAACAATATAGAGCTGCTGTCAAAGCTTGAAAAAGGCGAGGCAAGGCTGAGAAGAATTAGCATGACGGCTAATTCCAAAGCAGGAAACATAAAGTAGCTTCTGTATCAGAATGCCAATAAACAGGTTTAAGGCGATTGAAACAGTAATGTGCATTACAACTGTGTTTATAGCACCTCCTGCAGGGTAGGATGGGAATTTTGTTTTAATGATGGTAACACCTTGCAACTTGCATTTTTGCACATGGGTTTCCATCAGGACTCAGGAGTTACAAGGCAGGATTTGAGGGCTTCTTGTCTGAACTGATAGATTGATTTCAGTGGTGTGATCAAATTTCCCAGAGAAAGGAGGCAGACATCGGCCGTACATTTGAAGTGTAGCAGAAGCTGGTGGAGGTCTCGTCCTCCAAACCAAACAGTGGCCCCTTGGCATGCACTGCCTCCCCTCTGAACCTCCTCGGCTCCCCGGCACTCCGCCTTTATCAGCGTTGTACGGACATCTGACTGCACCAGCAGAGCTGAGACAAGGCGCGTGAAACATTTTTGACATTTCTTAAATGTGTGGCTAATCGGGAATGACTGCTCATGTGTGGAGGATTCTCTGATTCACTGAGGGAGACGGGGGAGAACAGGAGGGGAGGCAATGCTGTACAGCTGGATAACACTTCGGGGGCAGAATAAACTGTTCTGCAAACAGACCGCTGATGATTTATAAACAGCTTGGGACAAAACTGTAAAAAAAGAAAAATTGCATTTTTCTGCCACACTTTCTTTTTACTTCTTTTATAAAGAGCGAGGAATGTGAAACACAGCATTTCTGAACAAACTACTTTTGTTCAGGATAATTAGATCATATTAGTTTTTATTACAAAATGATTTCACTAAATTTAAATTGTACCAGTAAGCAACTGCCCATTTTAAACTTGTTTGCTAAGCAGCACAGCTGCTGTTGTCTGTAGGAGTTTGAAGAGCATTTTTAGACCAATCAAAAGGTTTTATTTATGGTCGTGTTTTGTGTGTTTTTATATTATAGTTTTATAATAAGTATTGTGAAATATCCTTTCACAGTTAGTTAAAAAAATGAAATTCTTGCTTTGTATTTGTCCATGGAGTTCCTGATTTAAAACATATTAATCTTGACTCTCAAACTTCATTTCAGTATTTTCTTGTTCCATTTTCTGTTTTTGGTGGAAATTGATTCTCCACATTTTTCTTCGGTACAAATTTCTTTTTGTTTTTTATCTTTTGTACAAACCTTAAAATAAGAATAGCTCAGCGTTTTGTTCAATTCCTGGTTATTTTCTATATAGCTTGTGAAATATGTTTTCATATGCCAAGTTTAAGGTATTATTTACAGTATATACTAACCCTAACCCATAGTTTTAGTTGTTCTATAAGCATTTAGTGGAAGAAGAACTTTTGCCCTTATGTTTTTTCATTTTATCCATAAATATAATAATAACTACATACAGCCACTAAATGAGTGTCACATGTTGATATGGAGCAACAAAGTCCCTTTTAGCCACACTTACAATTAAAAACTCCCAATAAAGTATTTTTCTAAATTTACTCACAAAAACATTTCTGGTGGGAAACTGTCTTTTCAGTATATCATAATCTCACCGAGTGAAATGACATGGAAAAAGATGTTTTGCTTGTTAAATTTGGGAAAATGAGAAGCAGACTGTGTGGTCCACTTCTCTGCTGGAGACTCAAATCTTGCACGCCACATGCTTTTACAGTCCGGGCAATTATAGAAAATGCTCTATATGTTTGGGTGAAATTTCCAAAGTAAATTTATAAAAATACCTAAATGTGGGAAGCACGAACAGGAAGTGCTCCGTTACAGTGTCTTGTGCAACACACCGTCATGAAACACGCCACTAATGACACAGTGTGGAAAAAACTCTCGAACAGACTCAGCACTGCTGCCACGGCTGCTCTCCTTCCACTGGAATGAAAGCAGCATTTTTATAATCTTAATTACAGAGATATTTTCAGTTTCTCCTCCAAAGGTTAGACCCCCCCCTCACCCAGACACAGCAGGGTGTCGCCATGACGCCAACAGTTCCCCTGGACCACAACAACAACAACAGTATTCACAGGCAAGAGATTTAGAGCTCTGAAATCACTGGAGAGGCCAGGAATTGGCAGGATAGAAATATAAGATGGTTTCGTTTTTTTGTTTTTTTGTTTTTTTTTTGTATTGACTTTACCTGTTTGGAACTTTCTGGAAATTTATTTCCTAAATCAGGAAGAAAGTACAACGAGTGGGAGACGGAAAGCTGGATGTTTCCACAGTGTAGTCTGAGAACATGGGTGGAGAAGAAAGAGCTCATATAGAAAGGTGGGTCGGCCCCCACCACCCACTCTATTCACACTGACACATTAGTATTCTAATGCTAGTGAGGATATGTGGGGTCCCCACACACCCCTCCCAAACCCCCTCCATGTGATGGGATTTTATATAGTTTGGCCTTTTATGGGACAATGAATAATCATTAATTAAATTAGATCAGGGGTTTTCAAAGTCTAACACAGTGGGCCTCCCTCCGAGTAGCAAAACAACAACGCCCCCTCCCCTCCGTCCGCCTCCCCCAAACCCACAAACACCATGCACATGTACTTAACATACAAGCACAAGCACAAAACATAAGCAACTTTTCACTAATAGAGTTTTTCATTCTTCTGCCTGTCAAAATGAGCCTGGTGATAGTGTTTATTCATTAGTGAAATTAGTCAGAATCAAAAATGTTAATTTAATTTTAAATATTAATGTTTAAATTTGGGGAAAAGTATATGCACTATATATCAATACATTCCATTTAATTCACTCCATACACATGATGTCGTTTACACTAACCCTAACCCTGTCAGAGAGAGATTTTACTTAAAATACATGTTTAGGTTTCAACTCCAGGTCCAAAGAGAGGTTATTTTGAGCCTAAGATGCTTTATGAAACAAAAACTCTTTCCAGCAGTATGTGTAAATAACAGCATGTGAATTGACTGTGTATTAGAGCAATGGAAGGTGAATGGATGGTGGAATTAATGGATGTACAGTACACACAATACTGCTTTTGCATTAAAGTGCATTACAAATATTAATCAGATTAATTCTGACAGCGCTAAGATAAATATGTGGATTGATTGGTTAGGGTTAGCGTTAGCTTCTTGTTTGGTCTGTTTACAGCATGACAACAATAAGGGCCTCATCAAAAGACACAGGAATCATAATCAGCTTCCTCTCTTACTATTCTGCCGCAGTCCAGTTCAGAATGGCTCAACATAACACATGTACATACACAACAACAACCTGATGCTGGTGCATAATTTCACCATGTCTAACAGTGAGTTGGACCAACTTGAAGCCCCATGTCAAAATGCATTTTCTATGGTCCCTTAACAACTCCAGCTAATCACTTTAGCATTGTCTCCAGAGGCACAAAGCTCGCCCTTATGTTCCTGTATCCTAGTGAGGGCTTTAGGGAGCGGTCTGGACCTGGTGTGTTGAATTTGGGTGACAGAGCCTCAGTAGGAGTGGGTGCCCCCCCCGTCCCTCACATAATCCCCAGGAGAAAGGACCTGCATTTAGGGTGCGATACGTTTAATCTAGGGGGACTTTGTTAACAAAGGAGGCCAGGACTTCCTCTGGCCTGGGAGCTTCCGCTGGTCCGGGGGGCCTTGTGTGGGTGCCAGTGCAAACATGTTCCAATAACACACATCCACATCACAACAGAGCAAACAAGAGGAATCTATGGTGGGTAGAAGCATGAGCCTATAAGAATAAAGAAAACAAACTGTAAATTCACACTGTCCATATGAGGAGCCAAAGCAAACAAACAGCCCACTCACACCAGGGCCAAGGAGGGTAAACACACGCACACACACACACGATCCCATTCTACATACAGCACAGTGGGCAGAGGCTGTGTTTACAGTCTGTTCCTGGGTAGAGGGGAACAAAGCCGTACGTCCTGTCAAAGATCTGCTCAGTGAAGGACAGTGGGTCAAAATGAAGTTTTATTTTTATAAACAGGAAGTCAGTGTCATGTGACACATAGAGCCTTCGCTCATTCATAATTACAGACGGAGTCAGTGGGGGCTAGTCGATGACTAATAGTAGTGATGTTCAGGTTAGGTAGATGAAGCATTTTTGTTTTTATTTGTTCGTTGCTACAACATTATATTGACTGCATGAATATTCTTTTGGAACTTCTTGAAATTTCATTGGATTTAAACGGAAATTGATTCATATATGAATCTGAATTTTTGGTATAGACTCTACACATTAGAATTAGCCTGCTGGACTTCTACTGTTCAATTAATTTAAAAACACATACATAATTTTGTTTTGCAACTTGGCCAATTTTTTTAAAAAATGTGCGTAAAAAGCAAATCATTTATAAATGTAAAAGGTTATTGTGACATCATAACCATTCGGAATCGTATGCAGCAAAACATAAAAAAACTAACATTACTACTGATGGAACTTCAGAACATGTGTATTTTTTTACTTTTTTGTTTTTTAGCACTAGTCGGAAAAAAAATATATACACACAGTGAGATTATGAACCATAATAACCATAATATTTATATAGTATGAATGCCCAGGGGTTTACTGCAGAACAGGTAGAGTTTCCAAACCTTGGAAGCTCAACAATGTAATTTCAATACTTTCCAGGACCCTCGTGAACCCTGTCATTAAGGACAGATATACTGTAACAGTTACAGTCACTGAACTGGATGGGATGTTATTCCATATTTCCCTGACATTATTCCACATGCCACAAGTTGGATTGGACTGTTGGAAAATGTTCCAAGCTCGGGGGGCCTTAGTCGCAGTGTCCCATTTTCCACATTTTCAGCTTTTCTTTTCCTTCCAGTGGTATTTCACGCTAACCCATCCTTCCTCTGCAGCTCCTGTGGCATTTCTATTGGCCACAATACATTTGTGGTGTACAGTAGTGAGTGGAAAGGGAGAGCTGAGGGGCCGTGTAAGTGAATGGAGACTCAAAGTTCCTCAACTTTCCACAGACGAAAGTAAACTCCTGGTTTGTATCGTTGTAGCAAAACGTGTCATTTAATTCCAGATTCATTTAACCCTCAAAACACCTTCACATGCCAACACCTTTGCTCCTCTGCGGTCAAAGTATATTTTGGTCATGCCATAGTTTTGTTTGACAGTTGTTTGTGACATCAGAATTATCAGTGTTAGGTTAGGGCCCTAAACATAGGAAATCCCTCTAAAGTATATCAAAGTGTGTGTTATGATGACCTTAATGTGATCTATAAAAAAAATAAAGCAAATGTGAAAATGATTATACAACAATGGAACATGTTCTTAAAAGTTTTATAGAGCTAAATCGGTTTGGGGTCAAACTGATGCATGTATACAACATCAAATCAGGAAATCAGAAAAATATTATGATGTTAAATCTAAGTTTACCCAGTTCCCCTCACTTAATTAGGAAAAGTCACCAAAGATTAAGCACAAAACAATGTGTACTTTGTGAATTGTGAGATGTTAAACATAGAATGTGACCCCAAGGATAATAGGAGGGTTAAATATAGTTATCAATTGTGTGTTACACTTTAATTCTAACTTCCTCCTACGAACGAACATCTTTATGTTCACTTTTTACGAGTCACTGATGGCTGTTTTATGTTCTGCTGTCATTTGATGTCTGTTTTTAGCATATGTCCCTGTGGTTGTTTTGTCTATTTGCTCCTTTTGACTTTATGACATTGTGTTAACAATCACTTTACACACAGCCTCTGGCTCGGGGCCCTGGGCCAGTGCCAGATAGGCCTACTCGGCGATCCGCCTAATACAGGGTCATACTCCTCTTTCTCAGCTTTCAGGAATTCTCTTTATTTTTTTTCCCCACTGTGACAGAATCCCTTCCAGTTGGCAGTGTTTCAATCTAAAACAGAGCTCTTGGTGAAATCACCTCTGTGACTCTGGTCTAACATGAACATACAGTAGACTCTGTTTCTGCACACTCTCCTTTATTCTTCAAATGCTGACCTTTGGCTGAACACGCTACGGCAGCAGTGCATGGTCAGTGCAGAGATCATATTTTTATGTAAGATTTATGAATGAGACGCACAACGTCTGAAGCTGACTGTTTCAAATATAACGGGCTTGTATTCAACTGCCAAAATGGTAAAAAGGGAGTTCTCTTTTTGCCAGAAAAGTGTCAAACACAGGACTGGCAGATGTTGGTGCACCAAGAATAACTGGTCATGACAGTGCCAGGTGTGTGTGAGTTTGAGTGTGTGCACAGGGATGCATGTCTAATGTAGTAGAGCGGCAGTGAATCAATCGTGGCCTACAGCCAGCTTTAGATTTTCTTTCTGGGACAAGCAGCCTGTCAATCTACGCTAAGCTAATTTCTGTAGATGTATGGCTGATCTCTAACTGTGTTTAAGGGTGCATTCACACTAAGGCCAGTTGATCTGTTAGCTGAAGCATGGATGCTACCACCTGCTGGCCCGCACTCAAATAAACCCTAAGGCAAGCAAGCTGAAGCCCAGTGGTAAAAGCAGCGACACCAAGAGAATATCCAACATCATGGCTGAATGACTGTCCTGTTGTTTGTGTTGGTCTTTATAGTCAGCCCTCACCAATGTCTGGACTTATTGACTGCATTAGGCTGCGGTTCATCATGCTGTATGTACGGAAACGTACTTAACCGTGCTTGTGCGCATGTGTGGCCAAGTGTTCTGCAGCTCTTCCAACCGTGCCGTAGCAGGGTAGTGGTTCTCAAACCCTTCCTGGAGCTCCACCGTCGCTCAACTGAACAAAAAATAAAATACAAGACAGTGAATTTAAAATTCCCAATCATTTTGCACCATGCCACGATGTGGGCCCAACCCCCACTTTGGGAACCACCTCTCTAAAACCACCTCATCAAAAGCCTGCATACACCACTCAAATCAACAGCCAGGTTTTTTTAACAGAGAGATAGGATTAAGATTCTAAGCTTCTGTCAACATCATTTCAGCTTGTATATTTAAAATGTCGTTACAAAACATTTAGACATTGACCTTTAAGATCCCAGTTGTTTGTTGATGACACTGGAACAATCTGAGCTCAATTCAGCCGTTTTCTACAGGGAACTGTGCTGTTGTTGACTCTTCAAAGGCAGAGGACAATAACACGCCAAACGGACGAGACATGTTACACTGGCCTTAGGTTGAGCTCACTTCCTGTGGGTTTAAAGATTATGTTTTAATACGTTATAAACCTCCAGAGTCAATCAGAGAATATACTGCCTCTTTATTTAGTTTAACCAATAATAAAACAAAAGCAGACAAAGCTACGTAAATGTGACAGTTGTACACGTTTGCGGTGATAAAAAAAGTGAACATCTTCCTCCACATCTGTCAAAAATAACAAGATCTTCAGCTGACAGTGTGCATGTACATCCAAACCTTTCTCCTTTCACATCAACGTACAGTAACTGTAGCGCAGAATACTGAGGAGGCTGAACACACGGAGACACAAACACACAAGCACATACAAACACACACAAAAAAGAGCGGATTAATGTAGGCAAAGAACTGAAGGACTAAAACTGAGTGCTGCTGAAATCATTAAATAAAACTGAACTCACAACAGAGATTCAAGTGAGACATGACTAATGCACAAGGCTAATGATGTCTGTGACTGCAAACCTAATTTAAACTGGTGTGGAGCAAAGCATGGTGGGACTTAAGACAGAGTAGAAACACAGTCATAATGTTGTGTGTAGAAGCCCTGAGCGTTGACATCTTTTCTGTTGTACCCATAACATAGAAATACATTTTAAATGGAACATGTGTAGACTTACATGAAGGTTGTACTTGTGATAACAATTACTGCATTAATATAAACATATATATTTCCCCCCTAGCTGGATGAGACGGTGTTTTAAGCTCATAAAATGTGTGCAAATAATTCTGTGTATATCAACCATGAGGTGGAGCAATGATATGTGAATTGGCTATACAGTTCAAGTCAGCCCATGCATTAAAATGCACTAAAAGGTTTTGATGAATGTGGTTAACTCTAACTCCGACTGTAGTTTTAGCGTCGTCTTTGCTGTTGTCCCTTCCATTAATTTACATTAGATCAGTAAATAAATGGCCAAACTCGTTCCTCTGGTTCTGAGCTGGATTGTTGCTAGGTTAGTTTTGGTTAAGGGACAACAACGAGATAGTGTTAACAGATTGACACAGTTTTTCTCGCTTAATTTCTTTCCTTAAAGTGTGTTTAATTTTTCTTAAAGACTACCTTCGAAGCTCTTCCTAAAGGAATTCCACACACTAAAGGAGGTTTAAGAAGAGAAAAGAAAAATCTCTGAATGTACAAAAGGAAATACAAATCCTCAACTAGAAATAAGTCACTCGGCAAACACAGTCCAAAACTGGTTCTTTACCTCTCGTAAGAATACTGGACTGTAACTGAGGCTTTTATTTTTCAGTTACACACATTACGTTTATTTACCTAAACATGAGAGATAATGTGGTGTAAAGCTGTTTGTTTTTACGAGCGGTAAAGCAGCATCCTTTCAGCGCACTCCTGGCCGACCAAGCTGGCGTACTGTCGCACATCAGTCTCATCACTGGGCCCCTTGCGCTTGCGTGCGTATACGGCGTACGGCATAACGACACTTTTGTACAGCACCATCAATTTGCCCAGGTTCTTCAGCGCTTGACCGTCTCCTGCAAAAAAGTCAGGCACACGTTAGAACATAATAAAGACCAGAGTAGACTCTTCGAGCACAATAAACATTGTCCTTATTTCCCCCTCACTGATTCGAGTTAACCTCTTAGTGACTTGGCAGGCAGCGCAGCATTATTCCGAGAAGCCGTGGGTAAGAGTAAACTCCCCTCCACTGCTCTGCAGTAACAATTCCAAGACGCCCTGAATGTGGAGTCAGAGGGCCGCATGAGCAGGGGAGTTCACTGGTCTTCATTTATGGGCCTCACCTCTATTGGCTTTCCAGAATCAGCATCTCATTAAGGTCTTATATAATACACTGCTAGCTCCCAGAGCAGTTAAAAACAATACAGAAGAGTGTGTGTGTGTGTGTGTTTAAGAAACACAGAATGGTTCCCTTGAGGGTCAAATGGAAAAAACAATGAAGAATGATGACCAGCCACACAATAATAAAGGCAACACGTCCAGAGTTGGTCAGAGGAAAAACCTAGGATCCATTAAGGAAGTGGCTGGAAAAAACAGAAACAAAACCAAATTAACCAACATCACGCACTTATACTGATCATGAATGTACCTAACCCTGACTGATGTAATTCCAGGTTCAGATCTGGTCATTTGGTCAAGATTCAGAGTGTGTGATCTAAAATGCATATTAAGTACAAATATTACACACAGTATTTAATCTACCCAGATTGTTCTGTATGAGGCAATCCAGACAGAACAGAGTGGAAGCAGATCAAGACCAGCTCCAGGCTCTGGACTATCATGCCAGACCCAGGGTGATACATAAACAGAATAGTAACAAGTTAGATTTAGTAAAACATAAATAAAAAAAGTATTGTTTCGCCAACTTACCACCCTGTCATAACAACCCAGCAGCCTCACAGCTGTGTACTAATGTTATTACAGGAACTGAGGGTTCCATTTTTTTACATATAATTTCAAAATATCAGTTTGATGCCAAATCCCAACAAATCAGGGGATTGGTTTAGAAATAAAAAAACAACTTAACTGCCATTAAACAATATTTTTTCACAACATTTCCATTAAAACACTTTAAAAAAAAGTCTCCAGGGGTTGAATCGTGTGAATAAGTCACCTTGTTCAGTAAAGCTCTCTAAAATAAAAAAGAACGTTTGATGTTGTTTTTTTCATTGCAACACAGTGTAAAACTAAGTAAACAGATCTGAGATAAGTGTAAAACTAAGTAAACAGATCTGAGTTTAATTTAATTTCCAGTCTAATTTCCACAATTGTAATTGCAGTCTGAGAAGAACTAATGAGTCGTCAGGGGGGAAAAGTGGAAACATTGAGACAGTGGTTGCTTCTTTAATGACCTCAGCTTCTCCCATCGTCCCATCGTTCATCCTAATGTTTTCTATCATCGTGACAGCCACTCACACAGCAGTTATGCAGAGACACGTGTGTCCAGTCCAGTGAGTGACATTGCACTAAAGCTTCACTGCTTGCTCTGTAGAGCAATTAGTCAGTTGACACAGTACAGACCGGCGTGAGGAGCATGAATGTCTAAGATAGTGTATTAATGTCACCAGAGGTTCTCAGCCACTCTCTCCTCCTCTGCTACTCAAGGCAATCCAAACATCCGCTCCTCCCGTAAACAACTCTTGCTTTTCTCCTTCATTCATTCTGTCCTCCATCCATGCCTCAAACCCAAAGCAGCTCCAGACCCCGTTTCCTTCAGGCCCACCGGACGTTCAGTGACACGCCACTCTGAGGTCAACTCTCCTCTGGGCCAAGGTTCAAGGGTCGGGGGAAAGAGGAGTGCTGAGGGCCGGACATGAAGTGTGAGGGTCAGGACTGAGGCCAGGAGCCTTGACACGTTGCCACGCTCCTTTTTCTTCACATCCAGCCCCAACTTTTACCATTCACCGGATGTTAGTGAATGCCAGGCCATCAGGTTATGACCACTGACTCTGACCCAGTGTTACCAATCCAAAGCAGGGCCATCTTTAAAAAGGAAGAGGCCAACATGGTGGTGTACTTAGCAAGAATTTAACTTTTCAAAAAGAAGACCTGGGTTCAAGTCCTGGTGTTAGCACACGTCCTTTAAGCTGACCCCAAAACCTCTGTATACAAGGATGGATTTTGAACTTCCGCAGTTGAATAATAGTAGAGAAATTCCAATAGATTTGCGAAAATTATCATTTTTATTGTTATTAAAAAGAATGCAAATGTCTTTTGAAAATTTTCACAAATGCTTGAAAAACAAATCGTCAGAGGGTATTGTCTTGGAATCTTCCACACTACTGACACAGTCACAGATCCCAGGACTATTTTACCAGATTTGTTGTTGCTGAAGATTTTTTTTTTTAATTTCTCACTACGTTGTCTTTCATTTACAAACATAACATATAATGGTAAAATATTTTATACACTTTTTTGTCCTTTAGCGTATTGAGTAACAATAATATATTTTTCTTTCCCTCCATTTTCCCCTCTGATATGTGTTTTCAGTAGAATAATTTTAAAATTTTAAATCACAAGCTGTAAATACACAGAAGGTCTGCTCCCAATCTTCTCGATAAACCTCCGGCTGCCTGTTGTGTGCACTTGGGGTCACTTAGGGTATGATGACGACTTATGTCACGCACGTCCACACTTTCACCCTACTGAGAGATTAAGTGTGTGAGAGATTTTGCATGTGTTGCGTAGAACGTGTGTCAGTGCTTGTCTCCAAGTATGTCCTGTATGTACATTTGGACGCGGGGTGGACACGACGAAGCCCCGGGGCCCTACATGTGTCAGTAACAAGCATGTAATCAATGTGAGCCTGTTTCAGACAGCGCCGTATAAACTTTAGATTAGCTGTCCTTACGCACCTCATTAGGAGGAACAGTGTAACTTTTCTGTCACTTTTTAATGAGAGCTCAACAGCTCCAGAGTCTGAAGTAACAGGAAATAGTTGGAATCAGATGATTGATAGTGGTTTGTTGATTATTTTCTCACTGAAGTTGCTGTAAAATGAATGAGTAAATATTAATTAATTAATAAATGTTTTATTGCATACACGTTTACTATATACAGTATATTTATATACATATCTATACTTTTAATTAATACAGTTGCAGGACAGACTACAATCTTCACCATCTTTACCATCTTTTGCTTGATTGTCCAAGATGTAAAATGCACATTTTTCCCATTTGCAACAGCTCTGTGTGGAGGAGACATTGGCTTTGTGTGGGCTATGAATGCCTACTTAACTGTTTTTGACTCGCACTTGAGAAAATGTTATTACCTTTCTTTTTACGGGGACATTAAAAGCCCCGGTCAAGCACATTTCAAGGGCAATTTCTGATATTTCAAGGGCATTCTGCCCTGAGTAACCACTAATTTGTGACCCATGTGAGTAAGGGCCATATTTCTGGAGAAGACCTGGCAGAAACCAAACCATAGCTGTTTTTCAACCCCACAGGCTTCACAACAGACTAGAGGGCCAACCGGGGCGACAGCGTGCAGTAAAATATAATGGCACTGTGTTCATTTGGACAGTACAGCCTGAAATAATGTCTGGCTACATCCAAGATCAACATTCCACACAGGAGTGGAGGCACCACAAGAGCCAAAGTCGTGCCAACAAACACGAGCCACTGCAGAAAACACCCACTCTGAGACAGAGATAATTCATCCTCAATGATTTGTGCCCAGTCAGGGACTAAGGTTGACTGACAACAACAGGTCAGACCCACCACTGGCTTAGATGTTAATGACAACATTGTAAATGACCAGCTAACTAATGGTTGTTTTATTCGCCTTTTACTCTCCTGGGTGGAGTGATTTCACCACCAGAGAAGCCAATAAAACAACAAGCCAGAAAATTGAAAATAAGCCTCAGAAAATCTCATTTACTGAAGACATGAGGAGATTTATAATTATTTACATGCAAATGGTTTCCAAACTGTTTTGCTGATCAACCAATCTGACTCAGCAGCAGAGAAGATGAGGTCATTTTGTTCTTATGTTGACCAAGAAGTAAGTTCTCTTCCAGTTGGGATTCAGCACATGATTTATTTACTTTTTAAAAAAGAAAAACACAAACTATGACCTCAGTACATCATAAAATTAAAGTTTTGTTCATTTATATTTACCTACTAAATGTTGTGCATGTTTGTGCTCTTTCTAAGAATGACATAAAGCTTAAAATCTTAGTTGGATAATTTACACATTTAAAAGACGTGTTCCTTTCAAGAAACGTTCAAAGTTTCAAAAGAACGTACGCACTTAGTATGATGAGAAATTACAAGTGTGTCTTTAAAGTTTGTGTCCTTTATTAGCCTGTCTGCCTTCATCTCAAATTTCTATGAATCTTTTTTTTTTATCATATCTCTCAGACCCTATTTCCATCTCTAGCTTTTCAACAACCTCCAGTTTTTATCCATAACATCCTCTTTCTGATTGGTTCCTGTTTGGTGAAGCAAAATACGGGAGAAATTGAAGACGATTGGACCGTGTGTGTTCTCACACAGCCTTGAGTTCTACGTATGAATGTTCTGTGTTTGACAACAGTCATCCTAGTAACCAAGACTAATTCACGGTGCTGCACATTGAACCATATTCTAGAAGCTAAGGGAAGGGGTCAGATGTGAGAGGCTTTCTGTAGCTATGAAAAGCAAACAAGTTGAGTCTTGGCTTATGTGCGAGCTGATTAAATCTAACAGCATATTCACCTCAAACCACCTGGGGGATGAAAATGCAGAATCCCCGCACCAGGGAAAGCGTGAAGAGATTAGAGAAATATGGAGACTAGAGTCTCTTTGGCCGTGCATCAATGCAGAAAAATCATTGAAAACACTGCTGTCGAAACGTTTCAACTCACTCAGTCTCACCCTGGCCCCGGGTTCTAATCCTGACAGTCCAGACTGTTGGCGTCTGCTTGTCTATCTTCTATAATTTGATGATCCTAACATATCTGCAGCACCGGCCCTCCCAGGATCCAATTTTTCAGTTTTCACATATGCATTTATGATGATCCAGAATATATTCTGAGAAACCCTGTGATTGAAATGAAGAGAAGACATAGCTGTACCTGCATTAGGATCCTGGTTGAATCGAACATAGCGCGAGTTCTCCAGCATCGGGACGCATCTCTCTATCGGTGTCCAGACGTAGGTCTCAGGGCAGAGGAGGTCGGAAGGTCGGTACTGTCCCTGCAGAATTTAACATGAATATTTTCTATTAAGTGTAAAACATTAGAAAAAAAAGCAACATTTTTATAAAAAAAAGAAAATGTTATTAGTGTTTCCTGATTTATAATTAGAAAATTCATTATTTATTTATTGGTTCTAACAAGCACTGATTTGACCAAAGAATCAGGTTTGACTATTTGACTTTGTTGTTTTTGATTGTTTATATTTCCTCAGCAGTGTGCTTCTTAAACACGTCTGTATTTGACAGAACAGAAAATAAACAAAGTTGAACAGAAACTGTCAAAGGGCAAGGAGAAAAAATGAGAGAGAGTGAGAGGTGGAAGTGACAGAGGTCCATTATAAAAGACCTGTGTTCTGTCACATGACTCCAAACAAATACAAACTGCTGCGATAGCACTGTAAACAACCAGGCGCCTGCCACAGGCCTGCTGCGATGTCTCAACACACAATAATATTTAGAGTTCGTGTGACATTAAACTTTAGGATATGTTGGTTTTTTAAGGGTTTTAGTTTTGAAACACTTTTTTGGCTGCAAACAACAGATCGACGCTATTTATTCCTAATGGAGCTTCAACAAACATGTGATGATGGTGAAAACTGGATTTATCTCTGGATGTTAGAGACAGTGACTTAAGGAGGCTGAGACTATTCAACAGATTTGTTGTTGCAAAAAGACAATAAAAGAAAATAAAAACATAGGACTGACAAGACTTTTTTAGACAGATTTTCTAGCAGTTACTCTCAAGTAGTTTGTCAGCAGTCCAGTTCCATACATTTTTTTTTACTTCTTTTTGTTTCAAATTTTAAAATGATTTACTTTTACAAACATAATCTTAACGAGACTTAACATTTAATGCTCTATGTTTTCCATCCGTAACTCTGGTTTCTTTAATTTTTTTACCTCACCTGTCCTGAAGAAAACAATATGTCATATTATAAAGAACAGACTGGATTTTTAAGTAATTTGTAGTTTTGAAAAATGGTTTATAATTAATTTCTACAGTTATATATATTTCATTTTGCCTAATTGTGTTATATTAGAATGTAGTTTTGTGAATAAGTTCTACAATAAATACCTGACAATAATGACGTTCAGACAATTCTGAAATAATTTAGTGTCTAAAACCAAACAAAGTCTCTGGTCTGGGAACATAAATGTACATATACTGCTGGAGCAGATTCCCTCCTCTTGAAATACTTCCTTAATTTCCAATAATATTCATGAAGTGAAGGATAAAGGGATCAAACTTCTGCACAGGTATTAGTTCAGACCAGTGACCGCACACATACAGAGAAAGCGGAAAAACCTTATCCAGAGTCGGAGGCTGAGACACAAACATACTTTAAGAGCTCCTGCTAACAGATGGATTCTGGAGGAATTCTATGAATCTGTAGCTGCAGTGGACACACACATTGACGAGATGCTCTCCATGTCCCAACAACTTACAACTGTCTGCAACTGTCAGCGCAGTCAGCCACACTCTCACACTCCACCTCACCTATTCACATTCCTTCAACACTGCAGCAGGTCACACCTCTATACTCACACACACAAACACACCTGCTGCCACTCCACCCTGACATTGTAGCTGAGTCAAAGGTGAAATTGGAGGAACAGGACAGAGGGATTAGTCGCTGGGAGAAAAATGAGCAAAGTATTATGAGAAAAATCAGTTGGTGTTTTCTTCTCATTGTATTAAAACTAGGGCTGTAGAAATGAATCAGATTCATCCATTTTAAACACATACGCAGTTGATCGTCTGTCATTGACGCACTGCAAAAAGGAGTTTTAATTTCACCAAAGCATCTGCAGGTTACAACATCGTGTCCGAAAAGTCGTGTGAATCCATCAGTTTATTGAAAACCCTGCTCCAAACACAACGCTTCAGAAGCCGAGCCTTTGGTGGATTCTTCTTTTGATACAAGAACCAATGTTTGGTATTTGCGTGTCAATTTTTAAGTTTGTTTGACCAAACAATTATATAAGAAAAGTTTTCAACCTCTATTTAATTATTTATTTTTGCCTGCTAAGTTATAGTTAAAATGAACCTTATTGCATATATTAATTTTTTTGCATTGAAAAATGCATACTAACTTTACTCTCTTTAGTTGCTCAGCTCTTTCTTTACTTTGTGCTTAAAAAAAAGCCTACACAAACAAATCTATCAGCATCCTTCCCTTCTCACCACCTTAGTCGGATATGAAGATGATGGCAATGAGTGACGGCCAGTGAAAGGCTGCTCAGGGAGACAGCGGGGGAGATGGAGGGTGGACCAACGTCAGAGCGTGTCTTTGGCTGCCGTCAAAGGTGTGAGAAATAAAATGAACAAAGAGGATGACAGTGAAGAGCAGGAGAGAAAATGAGGTCTGGATGAGTAAAGGGAGGGTATTTAAAGAAAATGAGACACTGATTAAAACTGATGAAAGTGAGGAACGTAGCCCGAGTGTCCACACAGTACTGGAAAATGATGCGAGGAGCCAACGTAAACATTATTTGGAAATTCACAGTTTTGGTAAGATTCACAGTTTTGCAAGATTAAAAACAAAAGTCAAACTGCAGTATTTAATGTTTAAATGAAGCCACAGCCCATCGTTAGGCTCAGTGGATGTTTTAAAATGTATTCTATGAGCCACACCAAATATATGCTGCACACCCACTATGCAAATGTTTTAATAAAGTTTATATACATACATATTAACTGAGAAACTCGCATTAGAAAGCAACTGCTTCTTTATTAGGGAATGTATGGCCATACTCGTCTGTTGATAAACAAATGACTCCTTTTTTACACTCCTGGTTTGGAAAATTGTAATATAAATGGCAGCTTTATTTCCATGATATACAGTAAACCAATTGAATAATACGTCCCGCCCCATCAAGAGTTTCTGCTCTACATTTGCTGACAGCGCAAGGGTCACTGTTTAAAGGAAGGCAATTTTCTAAAGTGCAGATTTTTCTATGATCCACAACGTAGGGTGAGTCATTTACTCTAAGAAATACTCAATCTTCAGAAAAGAAGGTCCATGCATAAGTTGACAAGCAGTTACACAACTGATTGACGATGTGTTTGTGAAACAGCATCGTTCACTCTTTGGAAGCCCCGCAGACTTTAATCTCATATAGATAGCCGAGTCCCTCCTGTCAGAGTCAATTAGACTACAACCTACAGACTTCAGTTCATACCTGTCACCTACAAGTTCTACCTTGTTCATAAAATGAACTTTTCATAGCAGCCAAGAAATGCTTGTGAAAATCGACCCATCTTTAGCCTTTGGGTTTTTTCCATCTTCCTGCCTGACTACACAGAAGGTATGGGGTTTTTACTGGAAGACAAATTTCACCATCTGACACGATGGTGTTTAAACTGCCAACAAAATCACTCAAATAGAGAACTGGTAAAAATTTAGACACGATTTTTTTCCCCCTCAGTTTCAATAAATATCATATTCAAGCAAACCAAAAAGACACAAAGCTCCAAAAAAATCCAATTTTTATGTTTATTATTAATGCACATACTTACATTAAACCTTTTTTGGGGGGGGAGGGGGGATTTCAGAGAACAAATGATTTCTCTGTTTAAGGTCCTGCCGTCAATATAAGTCTTAAGTCTAAATTTACAAAACACATTTGTCTCATTGGACTTCACATTTTAAATAAGAAATAAAATTAAACTAAATATGTCTTCCTAAAAAAATATTTAACAGGGGAAAAAATAGAGGTGTAAACAGTCAATGTCTTTACTGAATAAAAATACAGGCTGGATAAAAACTAGACTATCTCAGCAACAGTTTTCCACTGGGGATCGAACTGGCTGTAAGACAAGAGCACGGCCCACTCTTTCACCATGTCAACCCATGTTTAATTTTTCTTCTCAATATGATAGACTTCACTGATCTAATCTGTTTAGAGCCCCAGGATTCTATCATCTCATCAACTTATAACCGCCAGTAAAGGGGAGATTCTGGACTGACTCACTTTATCTCTTTGCAAACACTTCAGCTTCTGTGGCACAAAAAGTTTTTTTTTTTTTTTTGGATCGGTGGAATTCCAAAACTAGAATAAAGACTTTTTGACCCGTTAGAGTCCGCTTCCATCTGTGATTCTTTACAAAAACATCTGCGGCTGATTTCCTGCTCATATCTCCACTTCACTTTTCACCCACCCTCCCGTAGCTGATGTGTCCCTGCATGATGTGTACACAAGTGAGGCACTGTGTAACATTAGGTCTAACTGCAGGGGTTTATCACAGTTAACAGTATCAGTACATGTAAAAAAAAAGTATTTACACAAAGTATCTGCCAGTCAAGAGAGCACCTACTTCAGAGTGAGACAGAGTGGCTCCATGATAGAATGAGGTCACAAATGAAAGGCTTTGCTTGGCTCTGGACTGGAGATAAAATGTCCATAAGTGATGTGTTGTACAAATAGAAACTTTTTTATTATTAAATGATAAGCACAGACGTAGTAATAGATCTGAGGCCAACACGTCCATGTCAGTTTTATGATCGTTTTATATATATTTTTTTGTAAGTAATTTGAGGTGATGTCATAAAAAGTCTTGACTAACAAAGAACCTCAGTGTGGTGAAGAGGTAAACCTATAAACCTAATCTAGACTGGCCCAGGCCAGCTCTCTGACCCAGGGTCAGATTCAGCCAACCTTTCCTTAAAAACCAATAAACACAGGTCTTAAGCCTACATCCTTACCCGTCTTAAACATAAAGAATCCACGACACACTGGTGAAAAACATTGTGCCCAGACATCGCTAGAGGGGCGATGGTTGTTGACAGGCCAATGTAAACAGCACAGTCCCCACAAACAAAGGCAGCAAGACAAATAACACTAAAAATCAAGACGTCTGGACAGAGGGACAGAACCAATGAAAGACATGTCCAAACAGGCAGTATTTCAGAATGGTGGCCCACACAGATGTACGTTCACTGCAGAATGCAACAATATGGTGCATATATGGGAATGTGTGTGTGTGTCCATGTGTGTT